TGTAATAATGCAGCTGGAAGATCCTAGCTTTGATATTCACAAGGAGGGGAAGTACTTGATGCTTGCTGTTCAGGAGCTGGTTTCAGGGGATCAATGTGAAGGAAGATTTGTATTTGGCCGTGAAAGCCGGAAGCCTAGGGCCTCTAATGATGAGAACAAATTCACAAAAGATGGGACAAACCCCAAGAGCTTGCTGCAAACACTGTTGATGCGAGCAGGGCACTCTCCACCAAAATACAAAACAAAACATCTTAAAACAAACGAGTTTAGGGCCCTGGTGGAGTTTAAAGGAATGCAATTTGTTGGCAAACCAAAGAGAAACAAGCAACTTGCAGAGAGGGATGCTGCTATAGAGGCATTGGCTTGGTTGACTCACACTTCTGATAATTATCAGCATGAAGATGATAACTCTCCTCCTGATGTCACTGACAACATGCTAAAACTACTAGGGAAGCGTAGAAAATCAAAGCGACGCTCTGGTTGACTTTTCATCCTAGATGGTCTTAGGGGAGTTAATCTCATCCTTTCATCTTGGATTAATAGCCCAGTACCATGCAATTTAATGCATGGCGGTGAAATGAAAGCATTTATGAGATCCAATGAGGTTTTCCTGCTTAGCATTTTTTTGAGTGGGATGTAATTATGTGACATTAGGATTCTCTTTACTCATTTATTTCCCCTTTTTTTGGAGGGGTTGATATAGGTTTAGAAAAATGTAGTTAATTTACGGTGCTCAATCTTAGTTGTTGGCACGCAAGAAGTTTATTGTAGATTTTAGCCATCCCTCTCCAAATCCAAAATTTTGGCATCATTCTGTACACTAGTGTTTTTATATATTTTTATTCATGTATCTTGGGTCCAAGACCAAGATGCTTAAAGTTGTTAAGAGTGACATGTCATAATTTCTCACTGAAAAACTCAATAAAATCAATATTTATATTTCGTTATATGTTTCTGAAGTCTGTAGAGGGCCAGTGTTGGTAAGTTCTGGTGTACGACTGCTCCTGAACAGTTGTCGACGAGGATGTATCTGCTTTCACAACTTGTTTGGCACATGTTAATACTAATCAAATACTCGGTGAGTGAACAATATCACTCAAGTATAACAAAGGAGAAACATGAGTAACATATTTTTAGTACATCACATGTAGAAAAAATGAGTATTTATTTTGTATATTATTCATTTTTTAAAATTATTTTAATTAAAAAAAGTTATCAAAACAAGAGTATGTTAAAGAAGTATGTTTACAAATTTTTTGTGAAAACTCTTCAGAATAAAGTTAGACCTTGCAAAAACAAAATCCTTGTTGCTAAATTAGATGTTCTTTTAAATGAAACCAAGTGCACTTCATTCCTTTCAAATCTTGTGCATTTTTTTACAGATTTTTTCATACTTAAGTTAGAATATTATAAAAACTTTATTCGTCTTTTGATTCATTTTTCTTTTGTGTTTTTTATATTTTACATTTTTTAGTCTTATACTTGTACTATAGTTTTACTTTAAAAATCCTTATAAAATAAATTGATTAAATTGTGTAATATTCAAAATCACTGACCAAATATCAAACTAGACTCAATTTAAAAATTTAAAACTAATTTATTGATTCTAAACTTTTAGAATCATTTGATATTTCAATTACATCACCAAACATCCAAATATTTGAATAAAAGAATAATAATTTGAGAATGTAACATAAAGGAAATGTTGAAGGAGAAAATTTACTTTTTGATTTTTTAATTAGTAAGACTGCTAAAAAAAATTTAAAAGTAAACTTGCATGCAATTCAAATTGAAGGATCGTTAACTGTAATTAAAATTTTCTTTAAAGGATGTCAATAGTTATATATTTTAAAGTAAAATTAAAATTTATTTAAAAAAATCCTTTTTAAAAAATTTGAAATATGTGTTAAGCGTATTTAATAGATAAGTCGTACCAAGGTGAAACTATATATAATTTGTATATAAGTAATGCTTGTTTGGACAAAAAAATTGTTTATTCTAATTTTTTTATTTTTAGTATTTTTGCTTTGTCACTTTTTTATATTTTGGTTTGATTCTCCTATGATGCTTGATTACATAATAATAAGACATTAAAGGTGATGACTTCATTTAATTGATAAATTTTTTTATTATCCAAAAATTAACTAGTGTTGAAAGTCCTTGTAGAATGTTCTTTTGTGTTAGCATAAATGTAGCACTATTTTTGCATGATTTATGTTTTAAATTTTAGATGAGTTTGATTAAATTGAATATATAATTTGTATAAATTAGAATTTTATACAAAATATTATGGCCTTCAAAAGTTTAAGACCCATAGAGCTTGAACAAAGGCATGCTAAACTTGAGCACGCGTCATGCTACACCACTCTTAAGCAACTTATGTTATGTTTTTATACAAGAACATCTTGTGCTAACTTGAGCACAACCATGCTTTAAGTGGAGCATCACTCTTAAATAACTTATGTTATATTTCTAGATGAGTGCTAACTTGAGCATAGCCGTGCTAGAGAGAGAAAATATTTTGAAACTTTCGGAGTATTAATTTTTAAAATTGATAACTCTACACACTAAGACTTTAGATTCATTAATCTATTTAATGTGGTTAATAAAGCGAATAAAAAAGATTTTTGTGAATAGGCTGACTTTTTCTTAACAAGATTATAAGACCAATTTAGGACAATTCCTTGTCAAGGTGAAGAACTTTGAAGAATGTCATTCTAGAGTAGAAAAGGATGCATTATATAGGAAAAAGGAAAAGGAAAAAAATATACTGTGACTTGCAAGATAGATCTTGAGAAGTTGTATTATTGTACCAACAAGAGATTTCTTCAATTTACCCTCTTTGTCTTCATATTTCTTTTTAGGATCATTAGTTTTATCACGTGGAATTTTATTCTTCTAACCTCTTTATAATGTAGAAGAGATCCAAGCTTAATGATTTTATTTTTAAGGAGATCTCCTATCATTTCACCTTTTTATTTTTATTTTTTAATCACATCTTACTATTTTGCAAGGCTTCCAATGCTTAATGAATCTTGTAATTCATACATTAATTGGATGATTTTTTGTGTTGCATCTGATTTTTATATTAAAAAATCTAGATTTATTTACTTGAAAGTTGTTATTAATCAACCATGTGTAAGACTTTCTAATATTTTAGGTATTTAAAGTGCATCTAATTTAGGGAAATCCTTGGGATTTTCTCTTCTCTTGCGGACAAATTAAAAGAAAAAGAGTAGATTTCAACTTTATCCTGAAAATTTTTTTTTAAAAAAATGCCTTTTTAAAAAACTAAGTTTCTAAATAGAGCTAAAAGGGTTTGCTTAGCAAAATCAATACTATCTACTATTTTAGTCTATAATATGCAACTTTTTTAGCTCATATAGGATGATATCATCAAACAACTTAAATTGATTATTTAGTATAAGAATGGAGAGAAACATAGTTGAAACCAAGTTAGTTGGAAAACAATTACTTAAAATTAGAAGCTTTGTGGATAAGGTTAAGGGTCACTTTGAAAATGAATAATGCCCTTTTTTGGGCAAATTGGTGTGTAAGTTTTTGAATGACAGAAATATATTGTGAGTCTTGGTCCTTATTCATAAATATCTTAAGGACCATTTAATTTTCTCTATGTCTAGAAACAACTCATCATATTGTTAAAAAATTATTATTAAAGTTGCTAACAAGATTCAACATGGATTTGATGTCCTATCAAATTAGGAGCCACTTAATTTTGGTACGATAATTAATTATGTATTAGTGCCTCTATTTCCAAGCTCTCAACTTAAGCTTTTAAATGTATAGCTCAATGACTTCTAGAATTTCTCAAGTTATTCACCAACATTTCTAAAGATATTCATGAAGAATCACAGAGGGAAGATCCTAAATCATCCTTTTGGAAATAAACTTATTTCATGGACCGCAAGTAAGGAAAAAATATAACACTTGTTCTATTTTAATTGGTTGTAAAGATAAAACAAATTGTCACATAATATGTCACCATGTACCCACATTTGATGTCCTCTTATTCTTAAAAAGATTTTTATGTCACTTGCTCATCACTAATTTGCTCAATATATTTCTTTCCTTGTGAAAACTTCATTCACAACATACATTGTAAATCCTTTTGACTTTCTTTCATTTTGTAGGAATGAAAGATGCACTTTTGAAGTTTTGATATAACTTATTGCTCTTTTGTGGTTATAAACATGTGATTTGCATGAGTAATTATCTAAAGGTGGTGAATTTTGACAAATAGATTGATTTTAATTTTCATATTCACTCAGTGAATATTTAAAAGATTATTAATTAGCTTCACGAAATATAATGAAAGTATTCTTTATAGTTTTAGAGATACAAGTAGAATGATAGATAACTTGACTAAGATTAAAGTTTAAAATAATATTTTTATTCATATGTAGGCCCAATTTAAATAAATTTTTAGAGAATTACAAATAAATTAATATTAAAATAAATAATTTTTTTCATAAATTAGAAATAACTCATATTTTTTTTTTAATTTCTCATTTAACATTTTTAAAGTTTGAAGTAATAAATTATTTTTAATTTATTAAAAAATTATTTATTTTTTATACCAAAATTTTTCTTCCTGTAAAATCATCTTTAAAAATTTAGGAAAACTTAATTTTAATTTTTTTTCTCGACATTATGTTTCTTTAACCTTCAACACATATAATTTTTTTAATAATTTTTGAATTTTATTTTGAATTAAAAAATTGATGCCATTAAATTTTATAAGTTTTAATTAAAATTTTATCACTTACTAATTTTTTATTAAATACTATTTCGTAAATTCAAAAATTAATTTTAATAAAAAAAAAACTTATGCTATAGTAAGCTTTGTTGTCTTGTCCGCAATTTAATTGACATATAGTAAAAGGAAGCGAATGGTAGCGGTACACGTGTCGTGCTGCGTGTCTAAGAGCGTGGAGTTAACGACTAAGCGTTAAGCATTGGCATAGCCCAACTATCCGTTCATTCTTTGTTGGGTTCTGTTCTGTTTGCCTTCTCTTTCCCAATAATTCTCATTCATAGTTCATAGAATCAATGGCTACCACTGTCTCCTTCTTTCCATCTCCAACGCTTTTGTCTCATTATCAACTTTCGCTCTCTTCAGTCCCCAAATTCAAACCCTACACCGTTGCTTCCCGCCAACTCTTGTGCATCTCCCACAACACTATCTCTGTCTCTGCTTTCAGAAACCAAACAACCTCTCCAACGTTCCTCGCAATGTCTTCTCCCAACACCGAGCCTATGCTTCCTCCTTATAACGTTTTGATAACTGGGTCAAGCAAAGGTCAGATTTTTTATTTTATTTGAATGAAATGGTATATCGGTAGTGAAAATAAAAAATGTAGTTACCTTGCCATTTAGTCGCTAATTTGAGTTATTTTATGTTTTGTTTCTCATTTTAGTTTGTCCCTGTTGGAGATAAACAAATGAAGATAAATACTAGTAATTTTCTTGTGCAGGATATAATTAAATTAAATAACTAATTAAAATAATATGTTTATTTTTAAATTTTAAAAATGTAAATATTATAACTATTAATAATAAATACTTTATTATATTAAATAAAATTAAGAATAAATTATGAATAAAACTAAAATCAAAATTAGTGTTAAATTAAAAAGTAAATACATAATATAGAAAAAAACTACTTAGTATGATGTAACCAGACTAATCCCTGAAAATGCTTTCATTTCAAAATATTTCTTAAAATTCTCCTCTTCCAGAATACTCCTAAAAACGTTATTTTCCAAGAATTAATGCTCACAAATTATACATACAGCTTGATTAACTAAATTGTCATCGTGGCACATAAAGTAGACTACAAAGATAATGTTATTTTAATCCGTAAAAAAAAAAATAGTATCCAGTTCAGCTCACTCACTTTGTTTTGACGATAAAAGAATAATTAAAATATATTGACAGTGTGAATTTTTTTTTTTACTGTTATCCAATTATGTATTGCTATATAAATGAGAATCGTTGACTTTTGTTGTAATTAATTTAAAAATTGTATCCACAGTTGGTTGACAATTTAAAGATCTATACACGTTACACCAAAATTAAACACCAAAAAGAAAAGTGAAGAAAGAGATAAGAAACAAAAGAAATAAGTTGTGTTGTTAGAATGAGAAAGAGTATACTAGACAAGAATGAGAAAGAAAGAACATGTCTAGAGTAACTCTTGATGTGGAGTGACAAAATCTTTGCGCCATCTAGGTTGTGGCTTGAGTAGCATTACCTGTATTTTCTAACTTATTATCTTTTGGTGTTTTATGTTTTCCATATGATTCAGGAATAGGGTATGCATTGGCAAAAGAATTTTTAAAAGCTGGTGACAACGTCATGATTTGCTCAAGATCATGTATGGAGTAACTCTTGGTGTTTCAATGTGTTTCAACCATGCAATTTGTTTATTCATGTCATTCAAACTGTATACAACTGCTAATGCATCAATGATCTCTTTTTTCTTGTGTTTTCCTCTTCTCATTTCAATTATGTTACTAGAAATAAATGAAAATGGATTCTCTGCACAATTTTGTCAACTTTTGTAACCAGAAACTCATTCATATGCTATTTATTAATTTCGTTCAGGCTTGATGTGATTTTGTTGTTGAAAAGTTTCTTCCAGAGAAGAATGTAATTCATTTTAACTTTTCCTTTTAGTTCTTGGCATTCGAGCAGGAGAGAGTAAATCAGTTATTCTATTAGCATTTATTTTTTAGATATATATTCTGTCAGATAATCATTTGTGGATATTTGTTCCCTTTCTGTTTCCTAGCCCCAGTCCCTGTTATTTATGCTTTCTCTTGAAAATTTAAGTTACCTAACAGCTTATTGCTGAATGCTTGGGATTTTAGTATTTTACTGTCTAATTTATTTGATTTCTTTGTCTTTTTTAATATTTTGGTTTTCATTTAATAGATGAAAGGGTAGAGACTTCTGTCCAGAGCTTGAGAGTAGAATTTGGGGAGCAGCATGTGTGGGTACCTCCTCTAAAACTTCTTTGTCAGTTATAAACCCTGTTTTACAAATATACAGTTGGCTCGTGTTTTCTCATGTTCACATTTTGTTTCCTGCAGGGCACTAAATGTGATGTGAGAAACGCAGAGGATGTGAAGAATTTAGTTTCATTTGCTCAAGAGAAACTGAAATACATTGATATATGGGTATCCATGTCGGACTTCTTTTTCCTGTTTTGATTGTTTATTTTGCATAAATGGATGAAAAAGTATTTAGTGTTTAATTTTTAGTCATGGTCTGATCAACTACGTAAATTGCTGTTCTTAACACAATTCTAGGTGTGACCAGAGTAATGATTTGGAAACTAGTTTTCCATAAATTTGTTTATCATATTATGATAAATTTCAATGACATTACTATGACATGTTCAACCTTAAACTTATTGTAAAGTGGTGTCTGTTTTCCTTTTAACAAATAGGCAACCGTGAGTGCAGTTATTTCTGCAAATTAGTCACAGTTTGCCTGGTACCTGCTTCCAGTGCTTACACCTTTCATGAAAATTTTGATTAGGCATTCTGTCTATATATAAACTGAATTTTAGGTGATGACCTGTTTGGAAATTTAGTGGATACTTTATATTGCTAGCCTCACTATTGCCACTATTTTTACTTGTTACTTCTTTATAGTGGAACTTGAACTCGAAACCTGGCTCAAGTAAATGATTTCCACTTGCCAGCAGTACCTTGAAAAATATGTTCTATTAATTACTTGATTTTCTCATGTCAGTTTGCTCATTTTAGCCTCTTTTTGTATCAAAATAGGAAGCATACGACAAATAAGCTTTGTAGAATTCTCTGGTCATCTTATTTCATATATGACATTTAGAGCCAGCTACTTACACCTAGCAACTAGCATTTCCTTTCCATGCTTCCCCTTCTTATAGCTATAGGAATTTTTTATCAGTTTCTACTCCAGCCTTTCGTTGAATATGTCTGTTAGAATATACTAATTCTATTCTTTGTCACCCTATTTTGAGAAAGATGCAGATCAACAATGCTGGATCAAATGCATATAGCTATAAGCCACTTGCTGAGGCTTCTGATGAAGATCTTATGTGAGATGCGTTATACCTTTCACCCTTAGTTTCAAATTTTTATATTATCTTTTTTAATTTCTTTATTTTGTGCATGCAGTGAGGTGGTTACAACAAATACACTTGGCTTGATGATATGTTGTAGAGAGGTAAAATATATTCTCATCTAAGAGGCCATAGCTAATATGAACAAAGTGGGTGCACTGTTATGCATAGATATTTAGTTTCCATTTAGGCAATAAGGATGATGGTGGTCCAGCCTCGTGGAGGTCATATTTTTAATATTGATGGAGCAGGTTCAGATGGAAGACCAACTCCCAGGTACTTTTTGACTTTATTGGAGTATTTCATTTGTTGATTATGTGCAATATTCTGCTTATACATTTAGAATGTTGCTGTTTATTTTGTATTTGTCTTCTGGGACAGAGCCAATTAAATCTTGGTTGCTTATGGGTCAATACTGCTTCATGGGCTCTAGAAATCTAGAAGGGTTCACTTTTATAGTGGTTTCTCATGCCAAAAGTATTGTATGATTTGGTTAGCTGAGCTCCATCACAATTTTTTTTTTCCAAGCTAAATATTTAGTTGCTATTTGGTATACTAAATCAGTTTTGGTAAACCATGCTGTAGTCTCATCTCATGTGGTCACATTGGATTGGTTCCCATTTTGATGAAAGTGAAAGATCATGAGTTCTTTCTTCATTTTAATAATTCTTATAATCTCTACAAATAGTTGCAAAACGTAACAGGTAGCATATTAGGTGGTGGCAATTGAAAGGTAGCTTTTGGATGATATGAAAATTCCAAAAATGCACTCTGGATTCCATGATGAATCATAATCTCTCACTAGTTAATCTAGCCAGGGTGAAATTTTTTTATTTTTGTTGTTTTTTCCCTTAGGTTTGCTGCATATGGAGCAACAAAGAGAAGTGTAGTGCATTTAACAAAGTCTTTACAGGTTGATATTTTGTTTGTTAAAACTTATATTTCTATTCATGCACTCTAACTGTCTACAACTCTATTCAGTTCCTGTCCATTCTTGTTCTATTGCTTAAAAGTATTTATTGCATATTTCATTCTTATTGTAATAAAGTCAGACTGCTAATTTGCGATGTTTCTTATTGGTTCTTGCTTTCCTCAACTTCTACCTGTTCTAATAAATATGAGAGATTGTGATTATAATTTTCAGCTTAACCATAAAAAGAAACTATAATTTTTGAACTACTATATGGAAAAGAAAAGACTAAGTCCCATAAAAATTCTACCAATTTTTTTTTTCTGTATTGGCATTCTTTAAATGTTTAGACATGAAAAGATAAGTAGTACAGATTAGAATGTTGTGTTGGAGGAGTATACTAGACAAGATAGGAATAAAATTTGAAATGAACGCATTAGAGCGAATCTTGGGGTAGTACTTATTACAGAAACAATGGTAGAATCTTGACATAGGTTGTTTGGGCATGTGTGCTAAAAACTTGTAGAACTCCTTGTGACTTGGAAGGAGGGCAGAACAGATGAAGGGTAGCCCAATTGCTTACGTAGAAGGAGATGAAAAGACAACAGGTGAAGCAACTAAGAAAGATTTAGAGATTAATGGCTTCTCTATAAACTTCATTTATAGTAGAACATTTTGGCGTAGCTTGGTCTTAGTAACCAACTTCACATAGTGCAAAAAGATTTGGTTTTTGTTAGTGACAGATTAAAAAAATTTTAAGTTGGGGTAACAGTCATATATAAATTTGTGGGGGTAAAACACACAAAATAGATGTGATATTAAGAAAAAGGAATTAAATCCTTGTAGGGCAGTTGCCACACAAGGCAATAAGTAGGTTTGTCTCCATTTATTAATCTCTAGTGCTTTATTTGATGATGTGTGAAATAAGGGGGTAAGAAATAAAAAAGTAGGAGGGGTGTAAATAAAAGGAAAATAGAATGTAAAAGATTTGTTGTTTGAATTGATAGAATAAGAAGGAACGATGTAGAGAAAATTTTCTTAGACTTGTTTGGATAAGTGGAAAAGAGTTTAAATAAATAAATAAATAATTTAAAAAAAGTTATACTAATTAAAATATAAATAAAAAATATAAAAATATAAAAATTTAATTATATTACTTTTTCTTAATATAAAATTATTTATTATTTTTCTTTTGTGTTGTTAGAAAATCATTTTAATTATTAAATAATTAAAACAAAAAAAAGAAAATATGATCTTCCCACTTCCATTTCATCACAAGTGAGGGGAGACTTTTTTAATATGTGGAATCTATGACATTCCTTAATGTAAAGTATAATAACTTTTTTTTTTATTTTCCTGCCTCAAGTTTAGAGCCTTAAAATACCAAATTATCATTAGTGGTATATCTCAAGGTTAAAGTAGTCTTAGTCTTACAACTGTTAGAAATGATAATTTTTTTCATACATTAAACAAATTTTGTTCAACTTTGTCAATTCCTCCATCTCTTCTCCATCATGGATATCCTTGTTAGTTATGAAGTTGGTAATTACTCTTACTGGGTGTGGCATTCTTAGTATTGTCAACAACAACTAAGCCTTATCTCATTAGGTGAGGTCGGCTATAATCACATGACGCTGTTGAACTTGGTCAAAAACTAAATTTTTAGAAATTTGGTTAACTGAAAGATCTCTTTTAATAGTTACTTTTAAGGTTCTTTTGGATCTCTCTTGACTCTTTTTTACCGACTAAAAGTCATGCAATTCACTCTCTTTACTGGCGCCTCTAAAGATCTTCTTTGCACATAACCAAACTATTTTAGACATTTTTCAGTCATCTTTTCCATTATAAGTATTACTCCAATATTTTTTGTATACTATCTTTATATTTTGTCATTTTTCGTATGTCCACTTATTCATCTTAGTATTCTCATTTTGGCCACTTCCACTTCCTTTTTTGGTATTTTTCCTTTTTAAGGCCTAACATTCACTATCATATAGGATAGTTGATCGTATTATAGTACGATAAAACTTTCTTTTCAGCTTGATAAGTATTGTATGGTGACAAATAACTCTTGATGCCTTTATTCACTTTAATCATCCATTTTGTATTCTATGAGTAACATTTTCATTAATTTCCCTATCATTTTGTATAATCGATTTTAATACCTGACATTGGAAACTTATAATATAATATTCTCTCTAATTTTAACTTTCAACACATGATTCTCATTTTGTTTTTAGCTAAACCTATGGTGCATATACTTTGTGTTATTTCTACTTAAGCAAAAATTCTTAGATTTTAAAGTCTCTCTCCATAATAAAAGTTTAGCAATAACCTTTTCTTTTGAATTTTCAATCAAGACTATATCATTTGCAAAGTGCATGCATTGAGGGATAATCTTTTATGTCATTTGTAAGCACATCTAAGATTAAATTAAATAAGGACTCAAAACGGAGCCTTGATGTAAACCTATTCCAATTGATAAGTCCTTAGGTATGCTTCCAGAAGTTCTTACACATATAGTTATCCTCTCATATATGTCTTGTATAGCCTGAATATATGCTACACAGGCCCATTTCTTTTTTCCAAGCCTTTCAAAACACTTGGCACCCGATGATATGCTTTTTTCAAGTCAATAATGTATTCAATTATTATATGGAAGACTAGTTGCAGCATTTTTATCTGAAAAAATATTTGATTAATTAGAATTTCTTTCTTAATGATAACATTAGATAAAGTATTTTAGAATATAATGCTTTTAGCTATAATCTCTTTTGGAAAAATACCTGTTTGTGATTAGGAATAAAAGCACATCATATAAAAGCTTCATACATAATCAAATCAATAATTACTTTATTTTAGTGATCTTACAAGAATTATCTTTGGAGTAGAGCTTTGTGTAGGTTTCAGGGTGTTCTCGTACTTTAACTTTTTTCTGTTTCTCATTTGAGATCATCTCCCCTTACTAGAGGATCATTTCTCTATTATATTTGTAACAACTTTTTAAATGACAAATGCTCATTATTTATAATTAACAAGTTCTAGTAAAATTTTAATAAATCACAAGAATTATTTTAAAATAATAATGTATATGAAAAATCTCATTAAAATCATTATTTTTATTTATTATTATTACCACTTTAATATGGTAACCAATAAGTTGATGCATAAAAACATCAAAGTGTAGTATATATTATCAAGCATTATTAGAGAAAATAATATAAATACATTCATACATATGAAAACTTAAGTTGTTATTTTTTTTATTCCTTATAAATTATAATTAGTATAAGCATTGATAAATTAAAATATAGTTTAGTCATAGAAAATTATAATGATTTTCATAAATGGATCAAACAAAATTTTAGAAAATTAAATGTATAATTAAATGTACAATAGACTTAAAGCTATACACACTAACAGCCCCGATGTTATACATTTCTACTCAAATATCATATTAATTGTTTAAGAAAATGTTACTATCACCTCACTAAGCTGACATAAATTTTTGCTGTTACAAAAAATTTCTTTCTCTGTTTATTTTTCTCTCCATCTACCTCACTTCTTTCTCCTGTGCTTCCTCTCTTTGGATATACTAGTTGTAAGGAATTAAACAAAATAATAAATGTAATAATAGTATTTCCATTTCTATCTCCTTACATTTCCATTCAGCCAAGCACTGGAAAGTAGTATTTCCTTCCTATCTCCTTACTTCCAAACAGAGGGTCAATACAATCTTGGTGTGCAAATGAGCGTATCACATAATGTTGCTGAGTATGCAGCAACGCATGTCTATATTTAGGATTGAATTATGTTTGACCAACAATGCCAGGTCATATCCAGTAGAATTGTAAGCTAAATTTTTCTACCAAAATTCTTTTGCTTCATAATGCATGGTGGATTGACTTTTGTATTTCGTTGGAGGTTTATGCTAGTAATGAACTCTATTTTCTGCGTTCACACATGAGATGTTTGGTGTTGCTGAATACCATTGAGTATCTTGTGAACTTCAGTGAAATGATTTCAGTATAAGATAATATGGAAAATTAACACTCCATTAGATCAATATTTCTTATTGTCCTCTTCCTAATAAACTTATTTGAATCAGAATTATCGTTATGGCTGTGGATATGCATGTGTACATATAAATCAGTCTTGATGATATTTTACAGGCAGAATTGCAGATGCAAGATGTTAAAAATGTTGTGGTGCATAATCTTTCGGTATGTTTTGCTTTATGTATCCAATTCCTATGATAAGTATGACGGGCATGGATGCGTGAATATGAAAACTTGCATGTTTCTCCAATTTAAGTATTGTTATAGTTATTTATTCATATAGTAAATTTAATAACTTCTAGAAAAGTGATAATTTGACATGATTTTTCTTGTGCAGAATCATTTTAGTACCCATTGTTGTGTTACTGAAACTGAATGAGCCCCTTCACATTTACTGAGTTGCAGGCTTAGATATGCTCAACTTATAATGAATATATATTACATTATTACTATGTACATGTTGCAGAAACTTGTAGTGAAGGAGCTTGAAGATAAATTATATTAACTTTACACCGACATTAACAATCACCATGCATATCACCTATATTAAATACTGATGTTAGTCTTAGTCACAAAATGGTTCTTGTTACCTACTCTTTCATAAAGAATTTTTTGTATTTATTAAAAAAAAACCGTAGTACATAAAGTTAAGCTTGACATTTCTAATAAAAAGTGTACTATAGAGAGGAAAAATTTAATGTTATTTATTTGAATCACAGATCATTAGAAAGGTAACCCATCTATGAATGAAACACTGAAATATTTGGATCGTTGAATGACTTATAATGACCCATTAGAAACACTTGGAAATTCTAAATTCTATTGTGTCAATACCATACAATTTACATGGATATATAGGAGAGCTTTTTTGCCAAAGTATGGTAAATTTAAAAACAAATTATCCAAATAGGGTTCATACAAAATATTTTTCCAATCTAGAGTGATTTTTGCCACGTCATGTTGAGTGTCGTTCTTTGTGTAATCAATACTTATTTTTTTAATAATAAAATATTGAGTTTCGGTTATTTGAAAGCCGACACTTATTTTTTAATAATAAAAAAAATAAGTATCGTCCGTGTATATACTGACACTTATTTTTTATTATTAAAAAAATTAATATTACGAAGAGAACAATCACAAGTTTCCTTGGTGGCATTGATCTTTGTGATGGGAGGTATGATACTCAAGAACATCCTCTATTTTCAACTTTGAACAGAGTCCATCATGATGATTTCCATCAGCGAAACTTCCCAGGTGCTTCCATATACCTTGAGCCTCTCCTTTAATATGATTCAGCTTCTTACGTCCCTTCAAGATGATATGATCCCTGCAATATGGGAAGGTCATTGAACCCAAGGAACACAGGAGGTTGAGCAGCAGAATTGTTTTGTTCAGTCATGGTGGAAAAAAAAAACGTATGTTTTAAGAGAAAATGTGGGAACAAAACTAACAAAGGAGGTCTTGACAAATAGAACAACTTTTCCACTACGGCAATTGGAGGTTAGGAAGGTGGTGCATGGTTTTCAGTGCTGGTGAAGGGCCCTACAGTGTGACAGCGCGTGGCACGGCAAAGGCATCCAGTGTCTAAACAGGAAAAACGAAGCCCAATGATGGTACTGTAGGTACTCTGTAATGAAGATGGCTTCTTGCTGCTAGGGTTTTGGGTGATGTGATGAAGGTGGCTACAATTTAGTGTGCGAAAGCAGTGACCCTAGAAATGGAGTCTTTATACCAACATGGAAATTCTGAATTCTATTTTGTGTCCATACCTTACAATTTACATGTATATATAGGAGTCTAATCCTAATATTTACATGGGAGAATAGTTTAGAATATCTTCTAATAATCAGAGATAATGACAACAAATATTTACAATAAATCATAATAATTATGATATATTCTTAACAAAAAGTTAAGTAAATTAGATATATTATAATTTTTTTTTGTTATTATGTTGTCTCAATCCTATGAGATATCCATTAAGCCTTGAAGAATGTAGTGCTTTCAGGATCTGATTCAAATTGTCAAGGAGCAGGTCATATTTGGTAATGCATATGTAAATATGCAGATCTTGTTGGGAAATGCAAATAAATTTGATTTCCTGAAGAGAGTAGGTGTAGTGCTGTTATTAATTGTAATTTGTCGTGCAAGTTCAATATAAGAGGTGTTAAAGAAAAGGGAAAGAAAAATAAGAAAAAGAAAAATACCTTTTGTGCAAGAGCATAGTAAATAAAATCCTTGTAAGAAGAAAGGCTCGAAGAAGAGTTCGGGCTCACTAGATTAAAGAGAAATATGTTAAAGCTTAGTGGAAACTTAAACACATACACGAGTGCCAAAACTAAATGTTTCTAGCTGCAAGATAATGCTGGAAAAAATCTTGTCTTAAACTTAGGTTTAACCTAACTCAATCCCAAAAACTAGTTCATAAAGTAAGAATTGCCTAAGCCATAACCTCTACTTTGTCTATTTCTGTAATTGTGGGATCTCAACCCACACACCTGTCACATCCTAGATTGGACATATGGAGCTTAGAGATCCTAGGTTGCACTAGGAAAGCTACAGGACCAGGTAGACTGCACTGGGAAAGTTGCAAGGTCATGTAGGTTGCCTTGAAAAGTCTATGGGGCCAGATTAGTTGTATTAGAAAATTTCGTAAGGTCAGGATGATTTGATTTGATTTTTTTTTTATAGTCAAGGGTAACCTAATATCAGATCTACAATAGGTTCTGATATCATTTTAAATTTTAGCTTAGCTTAACTCAACCCTAAAAGCTAGCTCATGATGTGAGAATTGCCTGATCCTTTATATAAGTTCTACTTTGACCATATCTGTAGTCAATGTGGAATCTCAACATCTCAATTTCCAAAACACACCTCACTTGCATGGTTTTCTTTTTTAGATGTGGCTATTTTAAAGATGATTTGAGAAAACACATTATGATGGACTTGTAAAGATTTTATGTTTGATGCTCTCATCCATGTTGACAGTTATGACTTGTTTTTCTTTTCTCTTTTGGTGTTGCAGCCAGGAATGGTTACAACGGATCTTCTTATGTCTGGCGGAAATACAAAGCAGGTAAATATGTAAAAGTTATATTATTATTTCCCCTTAGTGTTTTAACTGACTGGCTTCGTCGTTATTTTCAGGCAAAGTTTTTCATTAATGTCTTGGCTGAACCAGCCGAAGTGGTAAGCTTTTCATAGCACAAGTGGTGATAGATTGGCTAGCACTGTACCCTGTGGGGTGCCATCATTCTGATCACCTGATAATCAACAGCAAAATGATTTTCTCATTTGTGTCTCATAAATTCCTGGCCTCTCTGACTAACTTCATGCAAATGAACTCAAGTGGAAGTATGATAAGAATCTACAAAATATTCCTAATAAAATCCATCATGATTACTTTTGTAAACCAACTCCCCAAAAGATTAAGCTATTAGATTAAGTCGCAAATGTTTTTATATTACATTTCTAACATGCCCCTCAGGTTTGATGCTTTAACAAAGCAAAGCCCATCTACCTGATGCTAAAATCCAAAGTTATTTTAGTTAGAATAGGGATAGCAACGACCAAATCCTAGACCACCTGGTCATACAGGGTCTAATACAGAGCTTGAGTAATATGTTGTCCTTTCTATGATGTTTGTATTCAGAATATAGGTACAGATAAATAGTAAGCTGTGTGTAGGAAATTAGGATCTTGGAAAGGAGGGAGAAATAGTCTGAGTTGTTTAGCCTAGACTACCTAAGCATAAGGGATATTCAATTTGCCTTAACTGATGGGATATGGTTTGCATGATAATTACCTAATGAAACGGAATCAAATAATAATTCTAACAGCTCGTTGTCCCTAGATTACTGGAACCATATTTCTGCAATTACATTCATCACTAGAGCATTTATTTCTGTAGAAATTCATGCACATAACAGAAAATTAGTAAGAGTAATTGTTTAGCCATATATTTCCATTATGAGCATTTATACACGTATATGTTTGATTTCTACTTGATGTGTCAAGGATTTGGATGACATTTGTAACAATTTACACCTTTATCTTTCCTTTTCTCTGTATATCTTATGCCTTTTAATCCTTATTTTGTCCAATGCTATGGTGTTTCGCAGGTTGCAGAATATTTAGTTCCAAACATTAGATCTATCCCTGCCAATGGATCAATGAAACCAACATACATTCGATTCCTCACTGGTTTGAAAGCCTATTCCCAGATATTTTCAGTTAAGATAAAGCATAATCCACAGTAGTCAAGTTTTCATTCTTTTAGCATCATCACATCAATTCACCCGTGCACAAGTCCTCAATTTCCATAATATAGTCTAGCATATCTATCTTGTTCAGAGCTCAATGCTTCCTTTTCTGTAACTTTACAGAGATTGGCATTTGGGGCAAGAAGGAACCGGTACATTCTTGAAGATTGAGCAGTAAGAACATTGGTGACGTGTGCAAATTTTGTTTCGTTTTTTGGTTTTTTCTTGTTGGAACCCAAGGGCGTAACATAAGAATTTGTGTAGTAAGTTTTTATTGGAAACCACCGGATATATTACAGAATTTAATGTATTAATAACTGTTAGTTTTTATGGCACAAACAAAAAAAGAAAAAGAAAAGAAAAAAAAGAGAGTAGAAATTGTGAGAAGAAGGAATGGGAAAAAAAATTGCCTTTATTCAATAACAATAATACATTTAAAATAATTTAAACAAAACATAAATTAATTATGTAACTAAGTTTTCTAACAAACTTAGATAACAAACTAATTTAATCTAAAATTGTAAGAATTACTAATTGACTAGAACACTGATATAATAAATCAAAACTACCAATTGCAGTTAAAAAAATGTATTGTTAATACTCTTCCTTATTTTAAAAGCTACAAACTTTAATTGTCTATCTAAAAGTTTAAATTTGCTAATAAGAAGTGGATTTGTTGTCAAATAAAATTGTTCTTGCCACTCCAATCGAATTGATCTTAAGGAACATTTCTCATCATGAATTGAGCCACTCTAATCATTGTTAGAGACACTGACTAGTTTGAATTTTTCATTTCTCTTAAAATTGATGCTGAAATTGCAGTGTCTTGAAATAGCTTATCATTTTTTTTTTCAGCCTTAAAATGCTTTTTATTTAAATTATGCATAAAAATGAATCTTATTTTTAGCACATAAGATATTAGGATGAATTATTGTGATATTTTCTTAATTGCACAAGATAAGCTTGCTCCTCCTCTAACGCATTTAGAGTAATTTTTTTCTATTATTTTTTGCTTTAGAAATATCTTAATCAACTACATTTTTAATCAACCAATGTTTGTCATAAAAGATTATTTTAAATCCTCTTTCAATTAGTTGTCTAACAATTAACAAATTTTACTTAATTTCAAAAAATAAAAAGAATATCATAAATTAGTTTTGTGCTTGAATAACTTGTTATTGCAATTATCTTCTATCCTTTGACCGAGGTGGAACCATTGTCTATTTTTACTTTGGTGATGATAGTTGACTTCAAAAGAATTGCTTGTTGTTGGTTATGTAGTTAGTGCAATTGCTATCAATTAGCCTATTTTACTTGATTTACATTCTGAAAGGCAAGTAGAAACAAGCAATTGATCTTTCTCTTGATTAACGATCTTAACTTCTTCTTTTTTATTCTTGCATATAACATCTTTATGTTTCATTTTGTTGCATTTATTGTATTATGTGTTAGGTCTCCTCAAACATTTGAAAGGAGGATGATTGTTTTTCCCACAAAGATGATATGGAAGATAAGTTTTTTTTTAATTGTGTCTTGCACCTTTATGATGCGTGACATGTAAGGCTTTTTTAACATCTTGTTTCATCACACAACTTTGTTCTTGTGCTTGTAAGTTACTTAAGAGTTCTATTAGTGTGATAAAAAACAAAATAAGTAGAAATTATGAGGAGAAGGAATGAAAAAGAAAAAATGTACATTTGTTCAATAACAACAATACATCTATAATTGTTGAAGCAAGCTCCTCAAAAGGTATAAAAATTTAAGTTTTGATAGATAAAAAATACTCATATCTTAGATGAATTGTCTAAAGTGTCTAATTAATCTACTTAAGTGTTTTAGTGTTGTTTGTTAAATGATATAAGTATAGTCCATCTAAAAACAACATGTGTATAAAGTACCTAAAGATTTAAGCATTAGACTACTATTTGTGAGCAAGTGTACCCATCGAAAAATAATAAAAGAGTTATAAAATAAGTTTTCAAAATACTATCTTACAATGATTGTTTGCAAATACTAAGAATTTTTAATTTAATTGTTTGAACTTAAAGGATATAAAATTAAATAAAACAAATTTAAATCTAAAAGTAATTAAAAAAATTAAAACATAACCCTTGACAATAAAGTGATCAAGAAGAACTTAGGGTATATGGTTTTACCTTTACACTTCTCTATGTTTACTTTTAAATTAATTCTAATTCTGATTTTCTTATGATTGTCAATCACTCATACAATGTTAATAGTTTTTTTCCTAAGCTATTATCCTTAATGATCATGTAAGATAAAAGGAAGAGAAAACATAAAGAGTCTACAAGCTGTTAATTTAATAACAATTGGAAAAAGAAGAAATAAGTTTGGTTCACCTAATCTTTTGTTTTATTTTATCCTATAGATCTATTAGCTATATGTGATACAGTCGCCTACAATATAATTAATTATGATATATTTAAGAGTTGTCAATTACAAACATACAAATATAGTGCAATAGAATAAACACCAATAAAAAAAAGAAACATAAAATTACTAGTAATCACAAAGATTCCATAAAGTCATGCAAATGATTCACCATACCCGTGCACTTTTTCAAACATTGTGCGCACACTTTCAACATAAAGATAATTTTGTAATTTTAAACAACACAATGATTAATCAAGTAAGTGGTCTTGGATAAGATCATCGTTCAAGCACTTTGGTTCTGGAAGCGTTACATTTACAAGATATTTGTGTCTAGATCCATGATCTTAATAATTTCCATGGTAGCAATCATGTATGTTTATCTTATGAAAACCATATATGTGCATGTTATTCTAGAACATGAATATTTACCATTTCCAACATGCATGCTTTTAATCATTTGCAAAACATAATAACAAGTAAATATCATATTAAGAGTCAAAGTTGAGTACTTAACTCTGTGACATTAGCATGTATACTTTGCACATGTGTTCTTATCGCATTTATCATGCTCTGACGCAAATGCTTTTAAGCGCTTTTAGGCTTTCTTTGCTCGTTCTGAATTGCGCATGTCCTTTCTACACACTCGCTTTGAGCTACTCATGGTCTTTTATGCATACTAACTTCTTGTCTTCTTTCTATGTAGAGTTGTCTATCTTTTCACAAACACTCTTGTTTATATACTCTTTTCATTGGAACACTTAATATTTAAGTGCAACTTTTTATTTTCCTCATTGATCCTTGCTACACTTAGTGTTTAAACAAACGCTTCTCTCATTTTCTCTTGTTACGAGTGCCCGAATTTATCTTTGCGTGAGCTAAGTGTCCCTTGTATGTGGTGGGCTCTTTTGTCTATTTTTCTAACTTTTCATTTATTATTTTCCTTCGCTCTTAGTAAGGGTATCTTGGAGCACTAGTGGTACTTCCTTGACCTGCATCATGTTCATATTCAACTCTCTACTCTCGTCAGGGTCCACCAAGTTTACAAGGCTAACTAGGAATAAGTATTCTTATAACATATACCAAATTGGCTCTCCGCCAGGTAGGCGTTCACTAATCATCATGGATTTCACCTTAATCTCATATAGGTGTTTTGCATCCTTCTTTTAATCACTTTATTTTATTTTCACCGTTGCCTAAGTTCAGCGTTGTTGGAGAACTCACGTAGCTGTAAGTCCTTTTTGTTGCAGAATGTGTCTAGGTTGTCTTGAAAATCCATTGAGTGTTTGTGAGCACTTTTAGATTATCGAACTTTCTAAACATTAGGAGTACATACTCTAGTAGGTGTACCTTCTCAGCTACCTCTTGGCAGTATAGTGGCTCCACCTCCCTATCACTCTTCTTTCCCCTTTGCTTCTTCATTAGTTAGTGACATAGCACTTAGCGTGTCATCGGAAATTGATTCCCACATGTGTTTTATCGTTTAATAGTGCAAAGTGTCACTATTGTTTTGACCAAAATGCTCGCACTTGCAACCTCATTATAGCCTTTAGGAAGCTTTGTTGGTTGGTGATAAGGGAGTTAAAAACAACTAATGGTACAATCGCTGGTAAGTCTATATTTTAACATGTTTTTATAACTTATATATTTATTTTTAATTATTAATTTATCAGGTTTCTATACTAATTTTTGTGTAGATTAATATGAGAAGACTATAGTTGGTTTTAAGTGCAGTTTGGGTCCAAATTGGTTAAAAAATAGGATTCAGCAGCAGCAGTCAACACCTCATAATCTAGTAACTAGCACGGTCGTGCATATTGCCTAACACGGTTGTGCTTATCTTTGAGAAAAAGGCTTTTAAACCCTATAAAAGAGACCTCAAAAGTAGCAAGTTAAGCATCCTTTCGATATCATTTTTTTTACACCTTTTACACATTTCTTTTGCATTTTTTAATCTTGGTGTTGGCTAGTCGCTGACGACCACGAGAGCTTTAGGAGCGCGTCGGTTTAAGAGTTCTCTTTATCTCTTCTCCATTAGAGATTCCTCTAGTTTGCATTTACTTTTCAATTACTGTGGATTGATTTATTGTTATTTTGATTTTCTTTTATATTATGTCTAGCTAAATTCATAGCTAGAGTTATAGTGGATTCTTTGCATGACTCTATGAAATTTTTATGATTTATGATAATTTTGTGTTTTCGTTCTTGATTGATGATACCTTAGTGCGCTATATTTATACGTTAGAATTGACAATTCTTAAATATATAATAATTAATTATATTGTAGACGATCATGCAAGATATAATTAATAGATCCATAGGATAAAACGAGATACAAGATTAGGTGGACAAAACTTAATTGTTCTCTTTTAATAGTTATTAAATTAACAGCTTATAGACACTTTATGTTTTTTCTTCTTTTTATCTTATATGATCATTGAGAGTGATAGTTTAAAAAAAAAGACAATTAATATTGCATGATTATCATAAGAAAACTAAAATTAGAATTAATCTAAAAGAAAATATAGAGAAGTGTGAAGATTAAATCTTGAGTTTTCTTTTCAATTAGTTTATTATTAGAGACTGCACTATTTTAATTTCTTGCTAATTAATTTTATATTTAAATTATTGTTATATTTAATTTTACATCTTTTAAGTTTAAATAATTAAATTAAGAATTTATTGATAATTAAAAATAATTATTATAGAATGATATTTTAGAAACTTATTTTAAAATTTTTTATTACTTTTTTAGAGATATATTTGTATATGGACAATTGTCACGATAGTTCTTTCTAGTAATTCTTCAAGCAGTAAGATGAATCTTGCTGTGACGTCTCTATTAAGTCTAGTGTCGTTTGTCTAATGCTCTTTTTGATTCTATCCTTGCTCTTCTTCATGTAGGAGATCGTCTAGGCTGAATGACAACTTTCTTGGCATAATCGTGCATGCTTGGATTCGACTGTAGAGTGTGTTTCAAATAGAGTCGTCAAATGTTTTAAAATTAAAATTAATATTTTAATGAAAGATTCCTAGAAAGTTGGGATTCGTAGACTTGCAAAGCATACGACTCTCTCCCCTTAACTTGGCCCTTCATGTATCTTTTCTTCCTTCCCTCGTAAGCTCAACAACCATTCATGATGATGTAAAGCTCCCTTTTTTCTCCTTGATGTCCTAACCATTTTTGGATTGTTGCTTATTGTCTTTCCCTAACTCCACTTTCTATTTCCAAGCACTATAGTCGTGGATAGAGCGGGCAAAAGTGATATTCTCTTGGCTCAAGAAAGTTCTTTTTTTTTTTTCTGCTTCCTCTGCATATAGATTATCGCTAGCCTCAGACAAGACTTTGGTTACGAGTCTTTATTCAATAGTTAAGGTTTCGTTGCATCAAGGACCAATCTAACTTTTCCCTGAGCACCTATTGTGCAAGCAAGGGCCTCTATTCCTTTGTTCTTCATCGAGAGCGCTCTAAGGTATCCGGTGTCAATGCATTCATTTTTATATTTTTAATATTCCTAATGCTATTGAGTGTCATGCTACTCTTCTTCCTATTTTACTCTTCGCCATTTGCTTGATCCAACTTTTAGTAACGTAGTTTTTGGGAACACCTATTACCTCGCCTGTGCGAAGGAACTAGGAACAAAACCAATTAAGGCATAGATATTGGGCTTAGTGCTGCATCAAAGTTGCATATTCTCAAAAAGATATACCATCATCATCTTGATTGTCCACTACAAAAAAGAGATTTTGGGATTAACAGTAAAAATAGGGGTGCCCAACTTTTTACAGAAATTGACTTATTCAGTTACTTGCATTAAAATAGATAGTTTTTTTTTTAGCAAAAGAAAGAATTATGCCCTTTTAAAAAAATGTCATGTAATGATAGTTAAAGAGGAAAACTCATAATTTCTAACACTCATCATTTCTAACCCATTAAAGTATTGCTTTGTTTGTCATTATTCTATAAATGTATAATTTAACATTGCCATAAATATGTGATGGAGATTTATAAAAAGTCTCCAATAGTTCAATCCAATTCACACTCTTCTTTACTTTCTTTCATTCCATAAACATTTTTTAAGCATACCAGCCCATAATCCATGAGGGCAGAAACACCTAATTTTTAGATTCATTAATCCTAAATGTACACTTTCTATCTTGATCATTTAATTTTTTTTATTTCAAATTAATTATTTAACTACAAACATAAACAAATAACAAATTTGCATCATATGGAGTCTTTTCCTGTCGGATTGAACTCAATTCACACATCCGACGTCATATTTAATTAAAAAAATTAAATTACCAAATTTTTAATCAATACTTTAAGATTCTGATTAACATAGGACTTGTACATGTTACGTAAATTAACTTTTTCTAATTTAACTAAGAAAATGTTAAGAAGAGCCATTAAACGTGATTGAATGTCATGTCTTTTGGGATAGGCAAATGAACTTATGATTGTTATGGGTTTGCTTTTAGTCTCTGCATTTTTGTCACGAGAACAGAAGAGAAGAAGCAGACCCGTGAAGTTTGGTCCCACAGGCATCTCTGTCTCTTTCACTGAGCAGCATTTTGCAATTGACAAATGTGTCACGAGAGTAACAATATATTCTCTGTCTGTTACTTCCTTTTTCTTGGGTGACGCATTCGTGCCATTCATTTTTAAATAATAACATTCAAGAAGCTACTTTTTATTTTATATGGTTTTTATTTTTTAAAATATAAATAATATGAGATTTTTTATAAAATTACAGGAACACGGAGTACAAATACTTAAAGATAAAAATAATAATAAAATTTTAAAAGTCTCTAATGATAATTTTTTAAAAAATATTAAAAAATTAAAAGTTATCAATGACGATTTTTAAAAAATAATTAAATATTTAAAAATTACGTTAGTAGCAATTTTTGGTGTTAAATTTTGAAAAAAAAATCATATATAAAAAAATGTTCCTCATTCAAGATTTATAATATATTCATATTTATTCGGGACATATCCAGTGGATTATGTCCAATTTATCTGTTACTTTATTTTTGTGCTTCATAAAATTAACAATTAAATAAGTATTTTAACTAACAAAATTCACAAAAATAAACTTTTAATTATCTTAAAAGGAACTGCCCTAAACACCCTGTCAAAATAATCTGCGTATCAAATGTCTTTAAAACATTAAGAAATATTAAATATACTTAAAATAAATATGAGCTAATTTTATATTTTAATATAATCAATGTTTTTCGTTAAGTAAGAGAGGAAAATTGACATGTAACTCTGACACATTCAATATTGAAGGGTTTTGTTTTTTCTTTTCTTTGAGTTTTCTTTGATCAACTTTTTGGGAGTTGCATGAGGAGAAATTAAACTTTTTTTTTTTTGTCAAAATTAACAGGGGTAAAATAAAATAAAATAAAATAAATGGGCTGTGATCCAATTAAAATTGCAATTTTGGCGTAGCATGAACAACTTCTTATGTAAACGACACCCACTTTTTCATTGAGTTGTGTGTGCCCTTCAATGCTATGATAACTATCACACAGTTATTTAATTGATGCCTTAATCTGTTTGCCTCGGGAATGCAGAACTCATGTTTACGATTAGACATTTTTCACCTACAATATTTCTTAATTTGAATTTTTTTTATTTTATATTTAAGCATTTTTTTTGTGAGTTTAATTTGTTTGTGATTTTATATCTAAAGATATATAATAAAATTAATAATAAATTGTATTGAAAATTATAATACCTAACCTTATTAAAATATTGAATTTTATAACTTTTACTAAAAAGTTCTTATATATAAATGTTTATTGTGTATTTTTAAATATATATTAAATAATATAATTTAAATTATTGTTTCTAGAATATTAATTAAGAAATTAACTAGTTTTTTTAATTAATGATATAAATAACTAAGTATTTGCCTCAAATTATTGGTGACATTGACGGAACTTGACGACAATTATTTTTGAAAGAAGAAACAGATGTAAAGCAAGACTCTTTCTTTATTTTAAATTAATTTTCACTTGCATTGTCTCATTCTAAAACAATAATTGTTATTTAATTCATAGATCTCATATATATGGGTGGAGATGAACAAAGGAGTGAGACCTATAACATCAAATAATGGTGTCAGTGTGGTGTTAAAAATGTCATGACAAGTGCAAAGAAAATAACAGTCTTTCGTATATATGAAGCTATATGCAAAAGCGATTGTTCAAGCATATTTAAACTTAATTAAACCATTTTGTTATTGAAATAATATCAAATTATCATTTCATAAAAACATGTGCAAAATATATATTTTCATATAAATATATGCTTTATTTTTTAGTATTTTTTAATAAAAAAAAATCCACCCACCAATTATTTTCACTAAGATTGGAATTTTAATTCTCTCCAAAGTGTTCAGCTCAATTGTTGGTGAACTTAAGTTTAACCTTATAAAGAGTATGCCAAACCAGGGATTACAAATTTCAGTAAGATAAGCATAAAAAAAAAAAAAGACACTTTTTTTATTTAATATAAAATTAGCATTAGGTAACCAGCATGTTGTCATTATTAAGTGCTGCCAAACTAACAGAAAAGCATAAGGCATTAGATTGCAAAAATGGGTAACGGCTGGACTGATAATGTGGTCCACAGTGAAATGTTTCATGTTCTGCAGTGTCTAGTGTTTGTTATGTGTCAACACATGAAAGTTGAATGCATGCCATGGAAAATCAGAAAGTGGTAGAGTGAAAAGATAGTTGATTCATTTGAATTGAATGATGGCAGAAGCAGCTTCTTGGTCCTAGAAGTCTTATTCAAAACCTCTCGTGTCTTTATTTATCCAAGTGATCTCTCTCTCTATCCATTGGAAGAGGAGATGGCACCAAAACCAGTTGCCCATTCCTATCTACTCCTTTTAATCTTGTTTCTTGTCATCCAACTTTCTGAGCAGTTAGAGTTTTCTCAGTCTCAGACACTTCTCAAAGTTGAACAACTTCTTGGCTATCCATCAGCACTAGGAAGCTTCAGCAGCACCACAGATTTTTGCAACATTGAACCTACCCAATATTTGACACTAGTCTGCTACGAGGACAGCTTGACACAGCTGCATGTTGTTGGCAACAATGTGTTTACCTCATTGCCTCAAAATTTTTCATCAGACACTCTATTTGCCACACTAGGTAGTCTATCAAGCTTGAAAGTCCTCTCTTTGGTTTCTTTGGGTCTCTGGGGGTCTCTACCTGAAAGCATTGCTCAGTTATCTTCATTGGAAATACTTAACATTAGTTCAAATCACTTCAATGGAGCTATTCCAGCTCAACTTTCACTTCTGAGGAACCTACAGTCAGTGGTACTTGATGATAACAACTTCAATGGTCAAATTCCAAACTGGATAGGGTCCCTTCAAGGTTTGGCTGTTCTAAGTATGAAGAACAACTGGCTTAGTGGGAACCTGCCAACTTCAGTGAATGCTCTTCATACCTTGAGAGTTTTAGATCTATCAAATAATCAGTTATCTGGGGAACTACCACATCTTCACCATTTGGAAAACCTTCAAGTACTTCACTTGGAAAACAACACATTTGGACCTCATTTTCCTTCTCTCCCCACCAAGTTAGTTTCTCTTGTGCTTAGAAATAACAGCTTCAGGCTTGGTGTCCCTTCTGATTTAAGCTCCTTCTATCAGCTCCAAAAGCTGGACCTCTCATTGAATGGTTTTGTGGGGCCATTTTCACCATCTTTATTGTCACTACCTTCCATCAATTACCTTGATATTTCTTCAAATAAATTCACTGGGATGCTTTACAATAACTTGTCATGCAATGATGATCTCCACTTTGTAAATTTATCTTCAAATCTTCTGAAAGGGGAACTTCCCACTTGTTTAGAACCAAAGACCAGGGTTGTTTTGTATGCCAGAAACTGCTTATCAAACAAGAACCAAGATCAGCACCCTTCAGATTTCTGCAGCAATGAGGCATTGGCAGTGAGAATTATACCTCATCAACAGAAGCACAAGAGAACAACTGGTAAAGCAGTGCTTGTGTCTAGTATGGGAGGTGTTGTTGGTGGAGTGTTGATTTTGGGAGTGGTTGTTTTGGTTGTTAGCAGAGTTCATAAGAAAGAAGTTGTGAAGACACCCTCAAGGTCCACATTGGAGCATGTCACCAACCAGGTAAAAGAGGAGGATGAAGTGAAAACTACTGCAAGGTCCATAATGGAGCACATCATCAAAAGGGTTCCTGATAAACATGCTGTGAAAATACTAACAAGATCCATTAAGGAGCATGTCATGAGCCGAGTGAACAACAAATATAGTGTGAAGACACCTGCAAGGTCCATAATAGAACATGTATCATCAGCAAACACAGCAAAACTACTCACAGATGCAAGTAAATCCACAAATACTCTGATTGGTTCATTAATTTTTAGTTTTGAAAAACGATATTATTTTGTTTCAAGCTTTTAGTTAAAGGATTAAACACAACATTCTGGGAGTGTGTTTTACTGTCTGGCTATAGATGTATCAATGTATACCAAAAGTTTTGAATTTAGAGTTGGAGAAAATTCTTATTTTATTGCTACAATAGATTGGATCACATCTTTTCTGCTGAAGTGCAGAATATATCATACAGATCAGGGAACTAGAGCATGTGATTCACAAACTATTTTTTCTATTAATTATTACTGGTCACATATTGTCCCTTTATATTCTTTGTTTGTAGGGTATATATCAGAAACAATGAAGATGGGAGCCAGCCTTCCTGCTTATAGGACCTTTGCTTTGGACGAACTTAAGGAAGCTACAAATAATTTTGATGAATCATATTTCATAAGTGAAGGCCCACATGGTCAGGTATGCACTAGAAGTTATTAATATTGATGGAATCATATTTACCTACCACATATTTTGACACCCTAACCTATGGACTACAATTTTGTGATGATTCCCACTAGACTCTACAAATTCCATTGTAGGACAAATATGTCAATAATCTGGACATCACATAAGTGCATGTTAGCAAAAATTTGAGCGCTTCATATTGCTTTAAATGAATAAGAACAAAGCTTGATAATTACATAGTCCACCATGGCTATATAATGTCTTTACATGTGGTACATTTGAATTCTAGCATGGATTCTGCTGGAAATTATATTTACTGAGTGGCTAGTTATCTATCCCTAGAATAGGATAACTTACAGGAATCCATATGCAAAACTTAAGTTCTGCAATAGGCACCAAGCAGCAATCGACACATATTCTAGGGTTCTTTAATACTCACATTTGCTAATTACATTATATTTTGCCTTTGTTATAACTCAATAGTTTTTTATTGTTTAGGTTCAGTAGTTCACCCTGCTGATTATGAATATAATTCTTTGAATAGTTGTTCTCCATTATCCCTGTGACTTGCAGAATTAATTTATTTTAACTATAATGGCAGATATATAAAGGGGTGCTCTCTGATGGAATGAATATTGCTATTAGGAGTTTGAAAATAAGAAAGAGACACAGTCCTCAGTCCTATATGCACCAGGTTGAGTTGATTTCGAAGCTTAGGCATTCACACTTGGTGAGTGCTCTTGGGCATTCTTTTGAGTGCAACCAGGATGATTCATGTGTAAACACTATCCATCTCATATTTGAGTTTGTTCCAAACAGAAGTTTAAGAAGCTATGTCTCTGGTAAGAAAAAAATTTCATCTCAATCTTCCTTCTAATGTTCTGATGTACTGTAAAGTAAAAAATTTTATACAATGAAATTCAAGTCCTTGCTAGGCCTGTTTGTTTTAACAGAACGTTTTCTGTTTTGATTTCCTATTTTTACGAATAATTACAAAATTATTACATTGTTTTCATTTTATTTCTTGTTTTCAAATATTAGTTAGAAAATGAATCTTTGAAGACGTTTTTCCAAACTAAATAGTACCTAAGCTGTTCTCATTTTCACTATTTTCTCTAACATTTACTTTCAATAGGATCTTCTGGGGAAAAGCTTTCTTGGACTCAGAGAATAGCAGCTGCAATTGGAGTGGCGAAAGGCATTCAATTTTTGCACACAGGGATAGTGCCTGGACTATACCTAAATAATTTGAAGATAACAGATATTCTTTTGGATAGCAATCATAATGTTAAAATAAGCAGTTATAATCTGCCACTCTCTTCTGAAAATAAAAGAATGGTAAATGGATAAAATGATTAAATCTCTGTTTATATGCTCTTACTGATTGTATATCTGTACATCTTCACTTGTCTTTTTAATTTTTCTCTGCATAATTCTTTTCTTTAAAATTTTCAGGGTAGCAATGGAACATCCCCTGGATTAAAAGGAAATGTCCAAGCAAGGTAAAAGAATATTAATTCCTTATAATAACATATAACCTAGTCTTACTACTAAGAAAGTATGAATTGTCATTAAAATTTCAATAACCTAGTCTTACTCCCATTGAATGAAATTTGAGGATGATATTTTTCGCTAAGATGTTATTTTTTAATTGGAGGGTGAAGGAAGAGGACAAGAAATGAGGACAACTACTTGAATATCAATAACTTGCTCTTTATTATGTGTGAAATTGATGTCAAACCCACTAAATTACAAGTCTCACGTGAATTTTACCCAATAATAAGTATGTTGAAAAGAGTGTGTTGCTAGCATTTTTCCAACAGTCAAAATTTGTTGTTTATTCTTATAAACAATAGATCATCTCTCTAGAGTGCCTCATGACATTCATTTTAGCATATGCTTTCTGTTGAAAGTTGAAAAAAATATGCCACTTGTTGCAGAGATAAGTAAGAATTACAGTAATCCTTCCTTAACTTCCACCCCTCAGTTAAATCTCAATAATTCATATATCTTCGCTTCTTCTAATGCTAACCACATTTTGGTATTTCTATTGTGGAAAAAAAAATGTTGGTAAAACACATGATTTGATAAACTATCTTCAATGGCCTAACTTTTTGATCCTGGATCTGAAAGGTTGAAAATGTCCACAATCATTTGGACAAGTTAAGAACCTTTTTTGTTTTCCATAGTCTTGTACAATGGATGTCTTGTTGATCGCCTATAATAATTTAATTTATCATTTGTGGTACTAATTGAAGTGATTGCATTAATTATTTCTGCAGGATAAAGGATGCAGACAAGAATGATATCTATGATATTGGAGTAATCTTGCTAGAAATCATTCTGGGACGACCAATAATGTTCCACAATGAAGTTGGAACATTAAAGGATCTTGTGAGTATTACCTTCTAATTTCAGACTTAAAGCTTTTAGAATAAAATGTGATTTAAGTTTCCCAATTTGACATTTAAGAATACCTTTTATTTGTCAAAAAAATACTGGGCAGTATAACATAAAAAAATGTACTTTATTTGATTTTTAATGTGAAGAACAGGAGAAAATGTTGTATACTACTTGTATACAATTATAAACATGTCAAACTGGTGAAAGCATAAACCCAACTTTGTTGTGTTAAGCACAAGAGTTAATAAAATAACACCTAATTCTTACAATATTGTGTGTTCTTATGCAGTTACATGTCAGCATCAAAACTGATGATATAGCTAGGAGGAGTATTGTTGATCCAGTAGTTCATAAGGAGTGTTCAGATGAATCATTAATGACAATGATGGATATATGTGTAAGGTGTCTCTCTAGTGAACCAAATGAAAGGCCTTCTGTGGAAGATATTCTCTGGAATTTGCAGTTTGCAGCACAAGTTCAGAATTCATGGAGAAGAGACTCAAATGATCACAGAGAATCACCTGCATCATCTTCTAAGGAGACATAAGATTTATATGAAGTTTCCAAAAACTAATAGGATGTATGCTACCATGTACAAAAGTCAAATTCTAGATAGGTCGCGTGAGATTGTTTCAATTTTATGATATTAGAAGTTAATGAACGTGTGCCAACATATTTGGCTTTTGTTTATACCGTGAACATCTAATTTTGTCTGCGTGATTTTTGTCGATTAATTTGTTAAAAATAAAAAATAAAAAATTTAAATAATTTCAGTATTTAATTCATTGTTCATTAAAATAGTAGCTTAATTTTAATAGCGGTAAATAATGATAAATATATATATAATATATCAAAAGACTCATTGACGTATTGATATTTTGGCTTAATTTTTAATTTTAAAAGGAAGTTGATCTAGAAATGGACACTACTACTAATAATTAAAGTCCTTTTTTAGTAGGTCAAGAAATATTTTCTCTTAATTTCAGTAGCAACATTTACTATTTTTATTTTTAATTTAAGTTCTTATTAACTCTATTTACTCAAGGGCATGAAAAAAATCTTGCACACTTTCTCGCCCTTGCTCTGATCTGCTGATTTTTCTGGAAACGGACTTACTGAAGCCTCTTCTCGGTTAGCAGGTCATACGGGAACGAAATATGACAGTTTTTACACTAGTAGGTTAATATAATCTTTAAATATTATAAATATTAATAATAAAGTATCAATTTTTTTTAAAAAAAAAGTGAAATAATCTATAACTTTACTAAAAAGTATTACTATTTTATTAAAAAATAGTCTAACTAATATTTAAAGTATAATTAACTATATCTTAAATCATTAGTTTCATCAAAGTTATATACATATATTAGTGTAATTGTTTTAAGTATAATTGTTATATTTATGGTATTTAGTATTTTAAAAAGATAAATTTTTTAGTATCTTAAGTATGTTCCTTTTAAATAAATAAATATTGTTCATTTATGTTTAGATAATATTTGATATTATTTTTATTATAATTTTTTATAAAATAATTCTTTTACATCAACTATTAATTAAAAAAGAATAAATAAAATGGTTGTCAACGAGACTTGATGCTTTTTTTTTTCTAAAACAGTTCTGTTTTTTATATTCATGTCATAAAATTAGACTATAATAACTTTTGACTCAATATTAGATCTCAAAGATAACTTTTAGCTTTTCAAAAAGATTTTTCTTTTTGTCTCTTGGTTGTTTCATCTTGTTTCCTAAACAATATCTTATATTTGAAAGGGTCTACTTTTAGTAACATCTTCTACAAGAAAAAAACATTTGTTAAGTAGAATTATTGGTATTTCTAGTAAACTTACAATTGGTGACAATCATTTTCTTAGCAACCTGATGAAATCCCTCTGACAAGAGTATAACCAAGTTTTGAATCATAAGAAAACCTATTGGTATCATCATTATAGGATAAAGTGGGCTAGCTAGCTTAGGTGATAGAAATACAAATTTCTTTCATAGAGTTATTATTTTTGTAGGCATGAAAATGTTATTGAAGCCCTAAAAGATGAGGATGGAGAGTCGGAGTTTAGTCCTTCCAAGCTTAAACAAATGGACCTATAATTTTTTGAAGATATTTACTATGACTCATCCTGCTCTGAGTTTGGATTGTACTCATAATTTTTTTCTTGTCCTAAGAGAGTCTAATAACCAGAGATTTTTCTATGTTCCTTCTATTGAAGAATTCAAGACCTTTTTGTTCAATATTAGGAACTTTGAGTCCCCTAGTCTTGATGGAATCTATGCACTTTTTCTTTAAAAATCAATGATATTTTTTAACTCTTTTCATATATAATTTTGTCTTTGATGTGTTTCATAATCCCTCTAAAATTGTTGTTGTAAATGATATTGCAATCACATTTATCCCAAAATCTAATAACCTTGAGTTAATTAAAATTTTCATGTCAATTTCATTATGTAATGTAAGTTGCAAAATAGTTACAAAATTGTTAGCTAATAAATTACGAGAGTTTCTACCTCATTTAATCTCAACTAATCAATCAATCTTTATTCCTAGCAAATAGGGTATTAATAAAGCTATTATATTGTAAGAATTAGTTCATTCTTTCTAGAATCTTAAGGGTAAATCTAATTTTATAATCATTAAGTTGATTTAGATTAGTCTTATAATAGACTTAGGTGAAATTTTATAATTAACACTCTCCATAAGATAGGTTTGGATTCTAGTATGATAAGCCTAATTCACCACTGCATCTCATCGTATTCTATGTCCAATAATTGGAATAATAGTTTTGACTACTCATATTCGGACTATGCTAGATGTGTAGACTCAAGGAAATCGACCTTTGGCTACATCTTCTTGTTAGCTGGAGGTGCGATTTCATGGAAGAGCGGAAAGGAGTCCATTATTGCTATGTCTACCATGGAAGCAGAATTTGTGGCATGCTTTGAAGCCACTATTCATGTTTTGTGGCTGCGGAACTTTGTCTTAGGGCTTGATATTGTTGATAATATAGAAAAGCCGCTGAGAATGTACTGTGATAATTTCGCAACCATCTTCTTCTCTAAGAATAATAAGTATTCAAAGGGAGCAAAGCATATGCACTTAAAATACTTATCAGTGAAAGAAGAAGTGCGGAAACAGAAAGTGTCTATTGAGCATATAGGTACTGATTTAATGATAGCAGATCCGCTAACTAAGGGATTGCTCCCTAAAACATTTTCTGGCCATGTTGGTAGAATGGGCATTATAGACAAGTCCTTGTTAGCATGATTGTGTGATTCACATATATGTGTATAGATTATTTTGCTCATATTATTGTATACATTTTGGGAATTCAATAAAAGTATTATTTTTGTTTGTTTACTTGTTATCTGAATTGTGTTAATGTACATGTATGGTTTGAGTTTGATAACAGGTTGAGTGTTAAAAACACATCAGAGTTACAGTCTGTAGTATGACGGATTAAAGCTATTTTGATTTTGGGTTGGTTCTGTGATACTTGGAAGGAATCATGTCGTCAAATGACTTGTGACCACCATGATCCGATCAACTTAAATCATTAAAAGATGATGACTTGATATTATCAATGATATGCGCACTTACAGCTCATTGAATCTTCAAGTCGTCACATAGGCCAAGTGGAAGATTGTTAGATTATTTTAATAATCTTATTATAGTGGCCTATGTAACTTATAGCATGACTCTAATTAATGATTTAATGTGATGGTGGTTAAATATAAAATATAGAGTCATTGAGGGTATAATTGTAAATACAATTATAAGGAAACCCTTCCATCTTCTTTCAAATAAATTAAAGAGCGGTTACCAAATGTAGGTTACTACATTCCCTATTTTTCACTTTCACAGTCTCTGAGTGAGCGAACGGTAAACGTGTAAAGAAACTTTCTCTCAACCATCCGAGAGGAACTGAAAGAGGAAGAAAGAGTTGAGAAAAATACAAAGGAATCAACAACATCAAAGAGAGAGGTAACATCAAAGAATAATAAATTCATATTAGTGCTCTCTAAACCCTTAATTGTGTGAGAACCATATATTGTGTTGTGAAAGCAACGTAATTTAAGATCTCAAAAGAGAAAATGTAATTTCATAATAGTCATTGCATAATAGAAATTACATAATGGATTAAAAAAAATTCAAACACTTTATGTCTAGATTAGTTTGAGCGTGGAAAGGTGAGACGAATTCCACCTCTTACGGGGTAATTAAAATTGAATGTAGATAGGGCAGTTTCCAGATTCAGTAGGGATGTTGCTTGTGAATGACTAATTTGTGATAATCATGACAAATTCATTGTTGGTTTTAATAGCAGTCCTTGTCCTTTCTCTCCTATAACTACTAAACTTGGGGCATTTATCTGGCTGTCCAATTAGTAGCTAACTATAATGTGAAGATTAAATGGATTGAAAGTAATTTCAAAGAGGTAATTGCCCTTATTATGAATGTCCAACAACCTTCTCATTCTTTGTTTCCCTTAAACTTTGATTAAATTTCATATTTAGGAGAAGAGAGAAGGAGAAGGGAGGAATAAGTGATTACTGATTCTTATTTGAAAGTTAATTAAAGAAGAGTTAAGGATTTTTTTCTAAACCTTTCTAACTTTATTTTTATGAGTTTTTTCATTTTAGAGAGTTTTAGTGACTCGAAGTGAGAGTTTATCATTCATATTTCTATTTGTTAAATTAAATATTTAAAATGGTCTAAAATAAAATAATAAAAAAATAAAATAAAAATTTAAAAAATGTTAGTTTTTAGAGTGAAATTTTTTTTAAATTGTAAAAAATAAAAATAGAAATTTAAAATATTAGTTTTTAGAGAGAGAAAATATTTAATTTTTATATTTTAAAAGAAAAGACAAAAAAATATATAAGTAAATAATATAAAAAGATAATAATATTATTTATATGATAATCTCTCTATTATATTTTTCTCTCAATATTAAATATTCAAATAAGGGAGAAGTTTAACCCTCTTAAACCTTTTAAACCACTTTCTTCTTTTTACTTCCAAACTTCCAAACAAAACCTTAATTTATAAAATTAGAGAAGTTTTAAAAATTATTAGTTTTATTAAATTTGTGCATATAGTAAAAAAAACAAAATAATGTACAAACTATTTAGTTAAAATAGGCCTAGATTTTCTATCTCCTAGTTCTCAATTTTATATTTCTCTCATTCTCTCTCTCTCTCCATTTTTAAGTATGGATGGTTAGTAGTTTGTAACTTTCTATGCCTATTACTTAGGTCTCTGATTGTCTTGGATTGTTAAAGCTTTCTTGCAGAAAAAATAAAAAATCATAGTTTATCATTAATTTGATATAGGTTAACCTCTTCTAGTATATTTAACCTTTGTTTCTAACATTTTTTTATTGCAAAAAAAAAAGAACTCTTTTTAAATCTCTCAATTAGTGAATCAAATGACATGAATCTAATTAAATAATAAATAATATTCTTTAAATGAAAAATATATATGGTTCACATCATTTACTGGATAAATGAATTGGGGAGGCTTCTCCACTTGTGCATGAGTTGAAAACTAGTCTGGTCTGAGCAAAAATGAAGTGATTATGTTGTTTTATATTTTTCATATTGCAATTTATACACCAGGTATTAAACATCAACTCATCATTTAATACAAATTTTCTGATCTCAACTACCAGATTAGTATATATAAAATAAAAAAAACAATTAAGCTAAAGAAATATATTATTTTACCAAACAGACTTCTGATTTGCTTTAAGTTACTTATTTAATTTCGTTAGATGAAAACAAAAATCAAATAAATTTTCAATTTTCAATCAAAACTATTCTAAATTGCTAAAAATAAATAAATAAATAAACTAACCGATAACCAAAAAGGAACCTTTTATTATACATCTTAATTTGATTTTCATTTCTCTTATTTTATACCAAACCATAAATATATGAAATTTATATTATTTTTTATCCTAACTCATGATATAATTTTCAGAAAAATTAAGATTATTTTACCTTGTGATTTATATATATTCAGTTGTTTCAAAGAAAACTTGTTATTTTATTTAAATGTAATATTTAGATCTCATTTCTAACATTTTCAACCATGCTTGATAAAAAATATATTTCATAGTTTTCTGTTGATACTCTACTATCAGGAGAAAAATATAATATGTATTTTAATTAATTTATATATCAAAACTTTTATACTCAAAATTTAAAATAAGGTTCTTCTCCCTCTTGCTATGGACCTTTTTTTTTCATTCTAAATATAGAACATAACTATCTAATTGTCGCACGCAAAGATTAATGTACATAAGTAATCTACAAAATCTACCACTTAATTAAATTAAATTTAAACATGTATTAATATTTTAAAGAAAGAAAATGTATATTACATGAGCAGTTAGTAATAATAATAGTAATAAGTTTGATACAATTGATAAATAAATAACTGTGACTCCTTAATCAAGAACTCTGAAGTCATATTTTACATCAGGAATACCCTCACCCAACCTACTCATTTTTTCACCTTGCAATCATTCATGCCTATCGTTTTCATCCATGGCATACGCCTTGTCATTAAGGTAGAACGGAGAACTTAGAGAACATAAATCGAAAGCACCCACTATGGTATTCAAACGATCATATCAAGCTATACTAAATAAACTAATATTTATATCGAGTCATCATTCTACTAATCACTGATTAACGTAATAGATATTCCGTATGCAAAAATAAGTTATAAAATGTTAAAAATTAGAAATTAGATTAAGTATTTTGCAATATATATTTTAAAAAATAATACATACATTCAATAAACAACTTAATTAAATATTTTTTAATTATTTTTTTCATACAAAGACTTGTGCCAAAAATTATATCATTAAATTTATTAAAATAAGTTAAAGAAAATATTTAATAAACTACACCAACAAATTTATTAAAATAAACTAAAAAGAATTAAGTTATATAAGCTTTCCATAAGTTATTTTAAACATCTCACGTATAAAATAAGCTCTTTTACATTTTTATTTCTCTACTATAATCAATATTAATTCTTACATTTTCTTAATAAATTTTTTGCTTGAATTTAAAATTTTTAATTACATAATTTCAAGAAAAGCAATTAATGAATGTTTTCATAATAAAAAAAATATTTTGTCGACACAAATAATATTCAACGAATCCATTACATCTTTATCAAAACAATTAATGTTATTTCCCTTTTTCCTTTGACTGGATATCCCGACATAGTTATAGCACTAAACCTTAGCTGAGAACCATAGATAGTAAGGTGACAATTCCAAGATTGTATCATTGTAAAGTTTTGTTTATAATGTAGATATGTTTGAACGAGTTAATTCAAAATAAATTACATCACTTAAACTTCTATTATTTTAAAACATTGTTCGGATAAATAATTAAATTTATTTCATTTTAAATATTTTTATTTAAATAAAGTAATTAAATTAATTGCACTTTTTAAAAAAATAAAATTATTACTATATTTAACCAAATTAATTAAAAATATGAAATTTAAAATATTAAAATAACCATAACTAAATAAAAATACGAATACGACACGCATTAAATAAAAAAAAGTAATTTTAAATTCTCTCTTTTATTAAAATTTAAAATTCTTTAATTTTAATCTATTAAAAATATCCCCTTAAATTCTTAGAATTTTAAATTCAATATCCAAACAGCAAATTTTAACCTAAAAAATTATAAATTCTTTCAAAAATTAAATTACTCGCTTAAAACATCTCATTCAAAACACTCAAGTTTTACAGGCTTTGAACTCCATGCTAATGATATAAGGTATTAGGTGCCAAACTTGCCAAGACTCATTGAACTACCTTCTTTTGTCAAAAGACGGGCCACTTAATGCTGGCATATCACCCACGTCCACCGGAAAAAAGTTCAATCCCATTCTAAATTCATCCCTATTTGCAAGTAACAGCAAATTTGGATAGCTATATAATATATATGGCACAAATGGAAGAGGGCGAAAGGTAGGAGATCTAATACTCAAGAAGAGGAAAAAAAAAAAGGAAGATTCAATATATCATTGATGATACAGGCTTGACATCCGGAACATCATCAAGAATAAAAGGTCCAAGCTTACCAGTCCTGAATAGAGTAAGGAACTTCTTGGATACCATTAACCGCGCTTCTGAAGCCTTGTGAGGTATCTTCAATGCCTTCTGTAGTGCACCAAATTGCAGGTCAATAAGGCTCTCTAAGTCATTCTCATCTTCTACATTACCATTAAATTCTGTGAGAGTTGAATAGAGCGCATGCTGAACTTCCATTACAAGATCCTATCATAGAACAAGAATAAAAGTAAAGAAAAAAAAATGTGAGAAGCGTAGATAAGTTCCTTCATAATAAACTGCAACATGAAATGTGTGAGAAAGTTTAATAAAACCCTCATTGGTAAATTAAAATGGAAGACAATAGAACTAAAGAAAGAAGACAGCCAGCCCTTCTAAAAAACACATCAATTTTTTTTGCGATTCTAGACAAAATTAAGAACATCTAAATCAACTTTACCAAATGAGATGCCTGATCAGTTGTCGGTGGATAACTTCCCAAACACAAGTAAAAAAAGAAAGGTTTAACTATGTTTTTGGATTCTTAAAAAACATAAAAATTTGATTTTGGTCCCAATAAAATTATTTTTCCTTACATTTTAAAAAATTATTGGTTTTGGACTCTCACCAATGTGAATTCATGAAAAATTGATACGAGTTTAGTTAGTCATGTCATGATTTAATAGGGACCAAAAAAAAAAGAAAATAATCTTTTAGAGACTAAAATCAAAATTTAATATATTTTGAGAAACTAAAAACATTTAACCCAAGAAAAAAAAAGTACTACGAAGCATTTGTAGTAATGAATGTTTTATTATTTCTCTACCATAAGCACCAGACAGTTTTCCAAATACGTCAAACAAGGAAACAATCCTATTCATTAAAGACAATGACAGATCAAATCAGGAATGAAGGCCTTTTCATACTCCTCCAAGTGAGCAACGGGCACTACAGGTACTAGTTTCATGGTGACTAGGTTGAACCTGCTTCCCCTCCCACCTCTGGCAGACTGCAAGAACAAAAGTTAAAGGGCACAATTGCCCTACAGAGAAATTCCCTAGTTTTAGAACAGAGGTGAAAAGGCTTTCATTCGAGAAAAGGAAGCATGGGGGAGAGTGCAACTATACAAAAGCTGCTTTAAGCAATCACCTTATATTAGAGGAAACATGGAAATAACAAGGGAAGTGCTGGACTTTGCTACAGACATGGCAGGAATCCCTAGCCCTCGCATTCAATAAGGGAAGGCAACCCTGATACTATAATAATTAGTGGACTGCTCATCGCATTGATTGTGGATCACAATGCTGTAAAACAATTTTATTTTTCACTTTCAATAGATTTAATTAAAAATCACAAAGTAATAACCAACTCCATTCAAGGCAACAATAAATGATGAAATAACTCGGGCTACAATCAAATGTCATTGTCAAAACATCTAAAGCACAGATTCTCAATCAAATGGGTTTAAAACAATTTGGAAGTGTAATATAATTTGGACTTTATCAGCCAAGTTGTAAAAGTAGTTAAAAGCATCATATACCGTTACACAGAGAAGATAAACTAAAGAAGAATGCTACTTGTTACCTCAACATATACCAAGTCAGATCTATTTGGTAAATTTCTTCTCTTTGGCTTAAGATTTTTCAGACTATATTCATGATTTTCCGCAGCTTCATATTCAATCCCATTTATTCTCCTGTTATTTAGGTGCTTCCAGTGAAGTGGCGTCCCCCGGGTATCCAAAACTGCCAATAAGTACTGAGCAATACGCTCCTCACCCACTACTGAATCTTTCACTGACCCTGTCAATGCAACAACCAAGTTTACATGAAAAACTATACCTGGACATTTGCTACAAAGGATATCACATTCAGAAACCCAACAAGATGCAAATGCCCCATCCAGACCCCTTAAGGTAATTTAAATACCCCATACTCAAAAAGGAGCTTGTGAGAAAATGAAAATGCCCCTCTCAAGAGAGGTTTATTGAACTAGAGTGCCCTTAATAAATGCCAATTTACATTCAAGAATCAAGAGTAAGAAGTTATAAAGTGTTTTTCCATTTCACAAATGCAAGTAATATTCACAGTTTCACACACTGTATCAGCTTTGTGCTTATGTTATAACGATGATAATTGAGAACATCGGTAGTTATTAAAGGACTGCTTGCTTTATATCAACAATCAACTCCCCCCCACCATGCAAACGTTCCAATATAAAATTTGTGATTAATATTAATTTGGGGATACATCACAATGACAGTCAAAGGTTCAAATCAATTTTATCTAACTTTAGAACAAAGGGCCGCCATTATAGAAGAAATGAAATTCAGCTTTTTTTTAATGTAGATAAAATATCAGCTAGGCAATAAGACAAAATTCATCAATTTGAATAGCGAACTATCCTCCTATTCCTATTACTTTGTCCACAAAAGAAAATGGGAAATAAGGAGCAAGGATATTGATTGCATAATATGCAAGTAATTTAAACAGAATCAACCCATAAAAAGGGACTGCAAGAGTTCAGCAATCAACAAACAACTTTTACATCCTGCATGAAGCATCTATTTGAAGACATCAACTGCAACTTCAAAAACCAAATCAACAGAAAGGGGAATAGATCATCACTGTAAATGCTGTTAGATCCATTTCTATGGAATAAAACACCAAATTAAAAAATTCAAATTCTAACCTTGCAAGTTTATAAAATGCAAACAAAAAATAGTAAACAGAGAATGTGTTTGTATGCAAAAGACGTTAACAATTGAGAGACAACACAAATTATAAACAGTATTAGAGAAATTACGTATTTTATAAATTTCAACATTTTCCTTATGTCAACTTTTAAAAAGGTTGGCTCACCAAGACATCATGTGAAGTCTCACTCATGATATAGTACCTGCAAGAGCCAGCTTTAACCCTGTCTCTATGTCTGAGATACTAGGAACCAGAACCCCTGGGGTATCTAGGACATATATGCTCGGTTTATGTGCTATCTGAAACATCAGGTCAAAGTCAGAGTTTAGCTATGGGATAGAATAAGCATTGTTTTTCTTCTCCCTTCTCTTTTGCAAACAAAATTTCATTTATGTGCTAATAAATATTCAAGCAACTGCACAAATTTGCCGGCATTGGAATAACTAGAAAATAACCTCTGATGCATATCCAAATGTAACGAAAACAACAAACTGTTTGCAAAACACAGTTACCATATTTGCAATACTTTCCAGAAAGGATAAGCATTGTGCAGTACAATACATTGCCAAATACACAATTCATTGGGGGTATACATAGTAGGTATGGTATTTGAGTTTGTTGTACATTATAATATTTTTGATTGGTCCCCCTCGTTTGAAAACATCTGTTCTTACTTTTATACAAATATTTTACTCAAATCATATATGCTCTTTAAAGTTAAAAACCCTTTCAATTTATTTGACCTAGTAATTTCCGAAGAACTTTAAACCATAAATTGAAATAGCAAGCTTTGTAAAACTAAAGCAATAACCTTGAATCCTGCAATGTCTTGAGTAACACCAGGCAGAGGACCCACAGCAGCACGCTTCCTCTTTTCCTGCACTATCAAACAATACGGCTTGGCCTCAAAATGAACATTCAACTGAATTGAAATCAGTCAAAACCCTTACCAGGAAATCGAGAGAGCGCAATTTGATGAATAGAGTTGATGAGAGCAGATTTGCCAACATTAGGAACCCCAACGACCATCACAAGTAGAGTAGGTTCTTTGCGAATCACCTCCTTCAATTTCACCTCCACCAGTTCTAGAAGCTTCTGAACCGAACTCTTGCTGTGAGCGTTTATAGGAACGCAATCCTGCTTGCACGTCTCAAAATAATGCCTCCATTTCTTCAAAAAAAAAAAAAAAAAAAGGATCAGACGACATAAATGAACAGGTAAACGACGAAGATGATGATATGGATAATATTGTTACATGCATGATGTTAGGGTTGGCCAAGTCCTTCTTATTGAGAGCGACGACGCGTCGTTTTCCGGAGAGGAGAGGCTGAAGAGTGGAGTTAGCGGAGGATAAGGGAATGCGAGCGTCTCTGACTTCGATGACGAGGTCGGAGAGTTTAAGGCGGTGACAGATGGCTCGTGTTGCTGCTGCCATGTGTCCGGGGAACCAGTTAATGGCTCCCCCGCCGGCGTTGAACGCCATGTCCCCCAAACCCAACCCTTTCTTCACCAATCCCTTCAACCCTGACATTCTCTTCTCTTTTTCTCCTCTCTTCAGTTCTGTCATCTACCAAGAAATGTAAAACCCCTCATTGGGTATACAAATTAACTTTTTCTTTTTTGATATCCAGTGTTAGAATTTAAATATAGGATTTATTTTAATCCATATAAAGCTATAAGAGAGTAAAGTAAATAAAAGAAAATGGATTAGGTTGTCCATTGCATGCTTATGAATTTATATCACACTTCATTTAAGTCAAATTTATTGATTAATTAATTAATTTTTTTTTCAAAAAGAACACGCTTAAAGGGATTTTGAAAAGCTTTTTTCAGTTAATAAATTAGTGCGTTTAATTTTTATGTGTATTTAATATAAAAATTCACATATTATTTCTATTAGTATGACTAGTTATAATTAAATAATAATTTTAAAATGTGTGTTTGTCTGTGTGTGATCAATAACAATAAGATATTAGATTAATTTTTGGGTCAAATTATATTTGATAAAGTCTAGTCGAGTTTCAAAAACAAAACTTTTATTAACAAATTAGACCCACACCTTATAGAGTATAAGGTGAATACAACATATAAAATTTTTATGTGATATAAAGATTCTAGTAACTTTTTTCTATTTTCAAAAATATATCTTAATGAATTTACTTTTGAATTTTGAATGTTATCTTTTGTAATATTATAATAAATATTATATTATGTTATTATACAGTGACAAAATGACTTAAGTAGAGGATGAACTATTATGTTGAACTATTTTCTATTTTTTTTTAAAATAACTAAAATTTTATCTTTTTACGCAGGATGGGTGAAATTGTCTCTGGAGTGGACAACGTATTATTGAATAAGCTTGCAACCAAAGCTTATAATGAGATTATCTTAGCATGGGGTCTCAAAGCTGATATAGAAAGGCTTCAAGAGGCTCTGAAAATTGAAGCATTTGAGATCCTTGATTTTCTATTTATTTTAAAAATAACTAAAATTTTATCATATTGATTTAGACAAGATCATCGTATTGTTAATTTTAAATTGAATGAAAGAAAAAAGTGAGGAAGTTAGAATTTTTTTACAGAAAAATTATTAAACAAATAAACAAATAGATCCATCACCTAATTATTTACCCAAATAGAACAGTATATTTTTGCCAGTCACAAATCGGTTCTCGGAAACTGAACTCTAACTTGATTTTTTTTTTTAATTTTGTTTTATCTTTTTATATAATAAAATAAATATTATTATTTAAATTATACTTATATATTTATATTTTGTTAAAGTAAATATTTATAATATGTTATTCTAATAAATATTTATAAATATTTTGTTAATTATATATAATAAAATAAGTTTTATTATTTAAATTATGTTTATATTTTTATATTATTTGAAAATGAATAAAAATAATAATAATATTTATTTTACATGTTTATTAAAATTTATTTTATATATTTAAGATAATAAATAATTTTTTTTATTATTAAATTATTTAATATAATTTTGATTTTTTTAAAATGATATTAATATTATATTCTGAAATTATATTTTTAGTTATTTAATATTATATTTTTAACAAAATAAAAATTACAATAATAATTTATTTAATTTTAAATTTGTATAAAATAAAAATTATAATAAAAATTTATTTAATTTTATATATTTATAAAATAAATAAAAGTATTAAATAATAACCAGTTTATTTATTTATTTTGAGATATTAATCTTTATTAAAATTTATACATAATTATTTATTTAAAAAATATGTTATTAATATTAATAACATTATCAAATAATATTATGTAGATATATATATATATATATATAATTATATATTTAATATAAATTATAAATACTAAAAATCTAGTGCTTGTTTTGTCAAAAGTGATGAGTCTATGAGTGTTCGCCTTTGACTATACATCTTGAATTGCTTTAGTTGCAACCTCCAAGTACATATGTCCAGCATTAATCATTGCATCTACTTCTCTTCCTCTGTCAATGAAGAACTTATTGCAACGGGTGTATGTTGCCATGACCATAGAACAAATTGGCAGGTTTATGGTTTTCTTCAAGACCGAATTGATTGACTTTGCTAGGTTTGTTGTCATGTGTCCAAAACGTCGTCTGTTGTCCCATGCCAGCGTCCATTTTTCCCTTGAGATGTTGTCCAACCATTGTGCAACTTCAAGATTATTATCTTTTACTATGTTGTAATAGTAAAAGAATCTCAGTTCAGTCATCTCATATGCTGAGAAAAAGATTACAAATTAAATTAATATAACTAACTAAGCAAATGTATAAAATATTAATGATAATATAGAGTACGTAAAAAATTTAAATTACCCATATTGACGACATCTTTCTTCAGTGCAGCATTTTTAAATCGTCGCATGAAATTTTGTGCAATGTGTCTAATGCAATAGACATAGACAAAATTGTTTTCTGTCCAACCACTTCTATTTCTGGAGTATACACTTCTTATGGCATCATAACGATCCGAGATGAGGCACAACCCCTCTTGCGGGGTTACGTAACTCCTTAAGTTTCTCAAAGAAAAGAACCATGTATCGCTAGTTTCACCTTTAACCACAGCAAAGACAATGAAAATTATGTTGTTGCGGCCGTCTTGCGTAACTGCCACTAATAAAGTCCCTTTGTATTTGCCATACAAAAATGTTTCATCTACTTGAACAATTGGTTTACAGAAGGAAAAACCATCAATGCATGGCTTGAAGGTCCAAAATAACCTCTTGAAGAACACATTTCCCTTGTCAAACAAGCCACTCTTGTATGCCGATTATGTACTCAATTTCCAGATGAAGCTTGGAACATACATTTGTGTTGCAAACAACTGTCTAGGTAACTTATAGTATGACTCCTCCCAATTTTTGAAGATATTTTCAATGGCATGTTATTTCCCCAACCATCCCTTTCTATAACTGATTGTGTAACCCATTGTAGACTTCATGTGGGCTAAGATGGTTGCGATGAGTGTGGATGGATTAGTCTTAATAATTTCACGAATGATTTAAGAAATCATTTGTAATCTCAACTTGTTATGATCCTGTGAAATGAGTGGGGAGGCACATGTGTGGCACCCTTCAAGCTTCATTATTTCTCAGTGTTGCTCTTTGGTGTGCAATATAGCGCGACATCTCCAGGCACAGTCATTGTGAACGCATTCCACAATAAGTCTAATTGTGCTTGACATATTCACCTTGTAAGTGCAATGATTGACAATGTGAAATCTATTTATGGCGTCTTGCACTTGTTTTTTTGTTAGGAAACGTTGACCAAGAAATAGTGTTCCAAGCAGATACACTACCATTTCATGATCAAAGACATAGCCAAACTCAAAGTCATGTTCTTGTATTTGACTGGAAAAGTCTAGAAAATGTGGAGGTGAGTTGTATAATAGTAATGGTTGTGATGGTGGAATATTTGGAAATTGGAGGGAGTCTTCTTCATCATCCTGCTGTTGAGATAGGATTTCATCTTCGTCCTTACTAAAAGGATCAAATACTTTGATTAGGAGACCCACAACAGCATGTTCTTCAATGGGAGTTTCTTCAAAAGGCTAAGAGGGTAAAGTTTGCTCAAATGGTTGAGAGGGTATTTTATTGAGGTTCATGAATGGATCAGTTAAAAGTTGTGTATAGGACTAAAGGTCAGAATTCATATCATATGTTGGAAAAAATGAATTTATGGTTTCGTAAGTTTGGTAAGGTGAAGGTGAAAATTGTGGTGCTTGAGTTACGTTTGTAGTAAATGTAACATATAATTCTATATCTGATTGAAGTTGATTTGAATCGTGGATGTTGAAGAGTGCCTCGATGTCTTCATTATCGTTCAACTCAACACATGTGTAGTTGCTCCAACAATGTTTGACTAGGAGAAAATGTGTGACACATATCTCGGTATCGTGTCAATCAAGGAAGAGTCACTTATTGGCTTTATGTTGAAACTGAAGTGGTTGAGAGACAATATGTTGCCATTACCAAAAGAACCATTTGAAGAAGAAGTTCACACCCATTGTAGGGCTTATATACTAGATTTAACTGGAGGTGTTTTGATGCCTGACAAAACAGGCAACAAAGTACATCTTATGTATTTAGTTTTATTAACTAATCTTAGAATAATAAGACGATATAGTTGAGGTTTTGCTTGTTTAGCTATGTTGTATAGGGAAATATGCAGAGCCATGGAAGTTGGTAGCAAAACAATGGATGGTTGTTCATCATTGTTAATGTCTTGGGCATAGTATCGCATGCCATATATTGCGCCAATTTCTAGTAATCCACCAACATACTCTCTTGTGTGTAGATGGAGCATGGGTAGAGTACTAAACTTTTGAAATAAACCTTACAATGATGTTGTGGAGTATACATATCAATATTTGATCACATTCAAGCTAATCAGGTAACTCTTCATAACAAAAATTTGAATTCATATATATTTTCTTATCTTTTACACATCATCTTAAGTAACAAAATTAAATTTATTTGTAGTGTCATATCAAGACTTGCAAACATCAATACCCATGGAAGCATATAGAGATGTCCAACTGTAGACTTCATGTACCGCCATCTTTTGTTTTGTAATTATTGAATGGCACCAAACAAATAGAGTCAAATTACCGTTTCGTCTCTTCCAAGAAGTCCGTTCTCCACCGAATAATTTGAATGACTTCCACAAAATTGACATGAGAGGAAGACAAGATGAAAATTAGGTTACAAGACATACTCAATGTATCGAGATGTGGAACAACAAACGTGAGTTGACAATAACGGGTCATCTAATGCAAAGCACATTATATCACACACAAGAATACATGAAATGGTACATTGTCAATTCCATCTATTTCCTATCTGTGCCACCACTACTACTGATCCAAGGAGGAGCGACCAACAACTAAGGATTACTAACACATTTGAAATCAGAACGACTTCCACACCGTCGTATCATGAGATTGCATCAATTTCTCCGAACATTACGCCAGAAGCAAACATAATTAACATAAGACATTCATTTGCATCAACATTGGAGAATTTTTTTATAAACTTATTTGGAATTGATTTTACAACTCCATCTTCAGCACAAACTTATATACAGTCTC